TGATGTGGATCATAAATATATCAGCAATTAAACAACATCGTCAATTTCTTTTCACACAATACGTCTCCTTGCAGTTTCAACACTAATTCGGCTGACTTTTAGATTTGATCCAATTGGTAGATAGGTTATATTTACCCCATAACGGTGCACAGCTGATAGAAAGGGACTTGTAGTTTTTAAAGATATTACTTATTTTCTTTGAATTAAAGAATGTAAATACTGAGTTGAGAGAATAGTCAGGGGTTTTGGGTGATGGGAGACACATCTATGGATTCAGAATTTCAATAGCTTACCGTTAAATGACGGATATACCTTTCTGTCTGTGATGTTTTACAAATCAGATATTAATGTGTAGAACTACAATATGTGAAATAATATAGCAATATCCTGTAAGATTATGTGAAAACATGAATAAAACTACATCTTCAGATGTTATACATACATAAGTGTCCTACACTAATAATACAAAGTTCTTATGGCATTGTATGCTGTGTGTTATTTGTAACATCTTCAGAAACTACCTTTCCAACTCCTCACCAGTTGACTGTTACAGGTCTATACAGGTTCATGGTACAATGCATAAGCTTAAAATCGAGAGATTGAAACTGTATTTTTCTTTACCGTTTTAATTTCACAATAAAGTTAATAGTAATATTATGTTTGATATTACTATGTTTTATTAACTAGACCACTGGGTCATGTTAAGACCATCGTTTCTGTCGGTTTGGTGTTACAAATATCAAAACAATATATGTGTGGATAACAAAATAAATCCGTCATAAACTAAACTGGAAAGTATACTGGAAAGTATAATTTATTGTGTTAACACTGTAAACTTGACAATTATTTTACCCCCACCACCTAGTGGTTAAAGCACGTTATTGAATTTTGTTGTTGAATATGTTATATTTGATTAAAAAATAAAAATATTAAGAGTAGCCTACATACAAAATAGGGGGAAAGTAGAAGGTCAATGATAGAAATATAGAATAGAAAATATCAAGAAGATACTGTAAGTGATCTCTACAATAAAACAGCTAGTGGAGGACGTCCAAAGATATTAATAGGAGGTTGTGCAAAACAGACAAACTAATAAGGCTTTATTTAAACATTAAAGAATACTTTAAGTTAAGGTCTTCTTTTGAATAAGAAAAAGCGTTGGGGGTATCTACAGATAAATATTAAGCCTGACAAAGTACTTAACGTCTAATATATTGCATAGTTTATTTTGGCACTTGACAATCACCTTCCCTGAATTTGACTCAGGTGTAACTAAAGTCTGATTTAAGGGTTGTATATATTTCACATCATTAATTAGAATCTGCAAAGTAACTAAAATAAATGTAGTGGAGTAAAAATACCAGGTTAACCTTTGAATTGTAGTGTAGAACAAAGTAGTATGCTGCTGTAACAAAAACATTTCCCAACTTGGGATCAATAAAGTATATCTTATCTTATCTTAAGATGATCGATGGCTACTGCCATATTTGCCTCTGAACCTTGACAAGTGCATGTTTCAGGCTTATCAATGAACAACAGGAGGGGTCACAGACATAAGACCAGCTGTTAAATAAAGCTCTTCTGACCTTAGCTGTCATGTGGATATATTAATGCTGCCCATTATGGACACAAGCAATTTTCAGCCATTTATTATTATGTTTTCAATTTGATAACACCACTGTGTTTCCCATCCTCTAAACCTCCAGGGATGTATACAGTTTAATACTGGCAACTTCTAATTATGGGAAATACGAAAACGTCTTTTAAAACTACAATTCCCAGTAGAGACGTGCCATAGAACATGTTGCGAAACACAATAGCCAGCATGTGTAGTTCTGGGGGGGGGGGGGGCTGGGCTGGACCCGTTCGAGTCCAGTTTTGGATAGTCTGCCGTGGTTTCATTCCATTTCAAAGAGCTGTTTGACGCTCGGCGTAACCTTGGCGCACTGCCACTCCAACATCTAATCACAGAGCTTGAGGACTAATCACAGGGTTTGTCAAGCAAAGCGGATGTTGTAGTCCCAAACGATAACTGAGGATTATGGGTAGTCTAGTGTCTTCGGCCATCCTAAACTCAGAAAAAACTATTTGTTTCTCCGAATCGAAGGTTAAAAACACAAAAGCATTGTACACAATTTAAACCAATCAATGTTGTGTAATTAACAAGGATAAACTGGTGTTTTTTAGTGGATGAGTACTGCAGATATCACTGTAAAATAATTTGACAGTAACGGTACGCCTACACAGCAGCGTTAAAAAAATCTTGGAGGTGGGCGTATCTGAAGCTTGAGGATTTTTTGCGAGCAACCAATCACATGAATCTCCCGCCCGCGACATACGAAGCAAAAAAGCCCGAAGTAAACCGGATATAAACTCCCCAAAACAGGCGAAAACCTACCACTGTCTCTGCCACCTCCCTCCATGCCTGGCTCCTCCGGTTTATATCCCGGTAGGTCTGGTCATAAAGCAATTTCCTTTGTTTGTGAGGTGATTGATTCGCTACCGCTAATTTCTCCTCCATTTTTTGGAATATGAGGAAATGACCTGCGGTATGTCTCTCCCAGCATACACGCCGTTTGATTGGCTAGAGCTTGAACTGTCAGATTTGCGTACACGGGATTTGATTGGCTGACGCTTCCACCTCAGCCTCAAAAGTTGAACATTGTTCAACTTTGAATCCTCAAAATCCTGAAAATCTCTGCTCGCCTGCCCACAATCCATTTCGGCGAAAAGTGAGGGAAAGTGACGTCACCCCATTCAAAGTGAATGGGCAGAAGCGTTTCAAGATTTTTTTAACGCTGCTGTGTAGACGTTCCGTAAGGGGAATACTTCCGGTTTTATTATGAAAACTTCGAGACCGGAAATACTGTTTTCACCCCGTGAGGGTTGACGCCAACTTTACATGGACGCTGCCGTCAACATTAATTAATAGGGGGAAAGACGTAGTATATACAAGTTCTCCTGGCGAGGCCTAAAATCATCTTCGTAATATCTATCAAACTATAGATCGTACACATCCACTGGACGTGGATTCTAAAAGTACAATATACACTTCTCGCTAGAAATCAAATAAAAAAGCATTTTAATGGCCAAACTATTCTACAATTTAGGATTTTCCAGAGAGCGTTATTTGTGAATATACGACCCTCCGGAGCGTTTGAAATCAACGGGAGCATCAGCCCATATGCCGCAAATTGTTGTTTCTTACACGACCACTAGAGGTGCTAAACTTTAAAACGTGACTATAGGTCGTAATAAACTGCTGGACAATCGACCTATTTGGTTGTTTTTTGGAGGAGGCCAGGCCGTTTAGAAAGTGCTGAGTTGAAAGTGAGACACACTGCAGGGGACATAATAGATGAACACCAGCGCCCCCAGTGGCTCATCCATGAAGCTGTGAAAAACCCAGAAACACCAAATTGTTTAAAGGTCCCATGTCATGGCCATTTCTACTGATCATAATTCCATTGTTGAGGTATACTAAAATAGATTTATACTGTGCAATTTTCCAAACTCACATTGGTTTCTCATACAGCATCTCTGTAAAATATGTGTATTCACCGGTATTCACTCTCTGTCCTAAACGGCTTGTTGGAGCTCCTGCCCCCCCTCCCTGTGAGCCCAGTGTGCTCTGATTGGTCGAGAAGCTGACAGGCTCGTTGCTGCTTGCACACACACAGACACTCAGGGGGTGTTTCTCAATCGCGAGTAAAGCTGCTTCAGAGCCACTATTTCAAGCATACTACGTCATCGAGTGCCGCCGAAGTACTGTTCCAATCTCCAGCATACTTGGAAATCTACCAAGCCCGGCGTACTCCGTTTGGAGAAATATCGAGGCTGCACATGAGTAGACTCCGCGGTCTTAAAATCCCCACAATGCTTTGCGCACGGACCAATTTCCCTAAATCTGTGGTGGAAGATGTAAGGCGGGGCCTCTCATATGACGCACACCTGCACACTTGCTGCACACCCACCGTGTTTCTCAATCGCGAGTACGCTTGCTTGGTAGCACATGTCTGCCGAGCATCTTGCTGGAAAACAAAGAGTGGAACAGGCTAGCAAGTGTGCAGGTGTGCGTCATATGAGAGGCCCCGCCTTACATCTTCCGCCACAGGTTTTGGAAATTGGTCCGTGCGCAAAGCATTGTGCGGATTTTAAGACCGCGGAGTCTACACATGTGCAGCCTCGATATTTCTCCAAACGGAGTACGCCGGGCTCGGTAGATTTCCAAGTATGCTGGAGATTGGAACAGTACTTCGGCAGCACTCGATGACGTAGTATGCTTGAAATAGTGGCTCTGCAGCAGCTTTACTCGCGATTGAGAAACACCCACACTGCTGCGGGCTGCTGCAGGAGCAGACAGGCTTGGCGATACAGCTAGTGAAACTCATCCTGAGCACACACAAACACTCACAGCCGAAGTAAAAACAATAAGTGTGGCTTGATATTGAGTAAGAAAATGGTTTATAACGCTGTGAGCATGGGTCTGCAGAGAGCATTTCTCCGCGATCCCAACGTAGTAGTCCGAAAAACGTTTACCCATTTAAACAGTCGTGGTAGATACCTTGTTTGTTTTAAACATCATAAATACACAAACAACAATGAATACTTACAGGTTGTGTACCCGAATCTCCCGCTGGTCCAAACAAAGTAGGAACAGCATCGTTCTTCAGTGCCCTACGCTGTACATATCCGGCATGAATCGCTGAAAGGTTTTGGGAAGCTTTGTTTCGTGAAATGCTGGCAGAGGGTGTGGCCACTGGCCATTTCTACGTCACGATACTCAGGAAGAAAACATTGGAAAATGAGAAATCTCCAACGAGGCGTTTTGGGGAGGTATTTTCTGTGTTAGAGTTTTACTCGCTACAGGGTGTACTTTCAGGGTTTTTGACTCTGCAGACCGTTTACATGCATAAAAACTTTCATAACACATGAGGGGACGGGTAATAACCGGAAAAGCATGACATGGGCCCTTTAAATCATCAGAGAATTAAATGGAAGAAATGTATCTCTTTATTTTACACAATGTGTTGTCATTTATAAATCTCTTTAAACCAGTCAATTGCAAATAGGCTTTTACAAAAGGTTACAATGTCACTGCGTTTTAGTATCATTCTGGCATTTCTGTTGTGTTTTCTCTCCAGGTGTCTATTGTTAACTTTGGGTTTAATATTAGACAAAGGTGTCACATTAATGGGGAATAATTTTATAAAACAGAAAAGAAAAACTGATAGCAAATATTTATTTTTTACAAATTATAAGATGATGCATATCAAAACTATTATTGTTTCCCATCCTATCTCTGCATTGTGAATATATAGTACATTCTAAATTTCATAACAAACCCCATATACATTTTTCACAAAGTGTGGTCCCAGTGTGTGCAATAAACTCATTTTAATTGAATTCTAAATGATAGGAACTCAAATCCTCAGTGAGACTAAATTAAAGTAAAGAGCTAGTATTGGAAACCAATCCGTCAGATTTATAAATGGACTTAATGTTCCTCCAGTGTCTCCATCAACAAAATGATTCTTGGAGGTTCATACAATGCTACTTAAGCTCATTTGCAAATGTATGATGTTCACCCATATACTGTTTATTTAAGGATTCAATTAGCTCTTCACTTTATGGGCAGCTGGATTAGACTGGAGTGATGTTAACAAGCAGAGAGCGCCCTCTGCTGGGCAGGATGGACACAATATACACCTTAATGCAATCAAGTATAATGATAATAAACAAAGACAACAACACCGAGTTACAAATAAAGTTAAAGAAATGAAAGGTGTTTGAGGGAAATCTGAGTGGAGTTTAGAGCATATACAGCCTATGGTTTAGAGACAGTGTAAATGAGAGTAGAAAATGTAGACAACAGAAATCAGGAGGACTAAAGACTGGCAGATATCATGGTGGGAAATAAACATAGGTTCAGTAGGTCAGTTCAATGAGGCGCCTTGTGGCAGACCTCCCTGACGGCCTCCTGCAGCTTCTTTAGCGACTCCATCACCACGCGGAAACTTTCATGGAAGCTTCCATTACCTTCCTTCACCCAAGCCGCCTGCAGCTCTCTGACCCACGTCAAGATCCCGTCCAGCTGCTTCTGCACCTCGGCCTGCTTGTCCAGCTCCGCCTGCAGCGCCTGCCGGGCACACACCTCCGCCTCGTACGCCCTCTGGAGGTCAGCGAGGGACGAATCCAGCTTCAGCACCTCCTGAGGGAGCAGACCAAAGTCAAACCAAAGACATACATTCCTTCTATCTTATCAACTAAATATGAAGACATCATGAGTGGCTGGTAAAAAAACATATTGGATAATGACTGCGCTGTAAAATTAAACACATAATACTCAATAATGATCAAACCCCCAACAAACTGGAGCAACAAACCTACAGTAAATGGCTATAATGGAAAATGTGTCATAAGCCATCCTTTTTATCAGTAGGCCGATCTCAATATTTAACAAAAAACAGTATCTATTACATTTAGTTAATTGATAATTGTTTGTTCAGGTAGCAGAGAACATTATTTGTAAGATACTGATAATGATATACAAATAGATATACACAAATCATTATAATCTAAATAAAACATTGACAAGAAACAACAGCAAAACAGAAACACACAACCACACTAAAACAAGTTATATATTTGACGAAAAGTAGAAGTACCAGAGTTTAGGAATACTCTGTAACAAGTAAAAGTCCTACAACCAAAAGCGTACTCTTTTTTAATATAATTAAAGTTCTCATTATGCAGTTTTGTCCATTTCAGAATAATATACATCATATGTTTTGATTATAGTTATTGATGCATTAATGTGTTTATCAAAGCTGGTAAAAGGTGCAGCTAGTTTTAATTATGTTGTATACTGCACTGTACAATCTCTTGTAGATTTTCTTGCCAATATAGCTTGTGGATTTACTCCAGGTGTAACTAAAGTCTTATTTAAATGTTAGTTATGTTGCATCATCTGCGAAGTAACTAAATGTATTAAATAAATGTGGAGTAAAAGTACACGATTTTCTTCTGAATTGTAGTGGGGTAAAAGAACAAAGTAGCAAAACGTAGAAATACTCAAGTAAAGTTCAAGTCTCTCAAAGTACTGTACTTGAGCAAATGTCCTTAGTTACTTTACAACGCTGTTTGTCATACTCTAATAATTGAATCAACATTGCATGAATTGAGATCATAATAGTGATCTTAATGTAAACACCGCTGCACCCACCTGTATGTGTTGGGGGTAGTTCTTGTGTGAATGGTCCTCGGGCAGCAGCACATTGGGCGGCACGGAGAGGCACCGCTTCACCAGCAGCGAGTCCATCCGCTGCGACAGCTGCTTGAACCGGTCCTCCAGGAACTGCTGCAGCCGGCGGCTACACTCCCGGGCCTGGAGCTGCTCGTCGGGCCCGGGGGACTCTTTTCTGAGCTGCCTCACACACACCTTCTCCACGACGGGTAATATGTCGCACAGGCAGTCGTGGAAGGCGCTGTAAACCCGCAACATGCAGGTCTGCGGGGTGAAGCCGAAGAACTGTGCCTCGTACTCTTCGTTCACTTCTCCAACTTCCATCTCCATCTCCGTCCCTTTTTGGGTTTCCCGCGCCATGTTGAATCGATGACGTCTGGGTTTTTCTTCTTCTTACGGGGATTTTTTGGCAGTTGGCAAACAACGAATGTTTTACCGCCACCTACTGGTAGGGAGTGTAGCGTTCAGCAGCAGTACTACAGGGTGAGAAAATATTTTAGATACGGCTAAAAACAGCATACTATTGATAAATAGGATATTGTGCTTATAAATGATTTAAATACAATATACAATTAATTACACAAGGTTGTTTTAAACTGTATTATTATTATTATTATTATTATTGAAACAAAATATGAAGTGATGAAAAATACTTTTTAAAGGGTGATGACATTCAAACTGTGCAAAGGATGGTCCTATTGTGTTTTTGTCTTTAAAAAAACAGCATCCATTTATAACTATTAGACGCTCTTGTGAAAACCTTGTATGTCGTTGAAATGGTTGGCATGGGTTATATTCATATAACTTTATTCTTATTATCCCTGTCTATATTATGATGTGTACTATCAGTGTTTCTCTCTTATTATGTTGCTGCTTAACACCTGAATGTTCTTACGGGGATCATTAAAGGTCCATCCTATATTAAACTATCTTAAATGTTCGTTTTTCATTCATTTAAAACAATTAATAATCCTCACGTCATGACGTGGGACGTACGTCGCGGGCACGCCCACTTGTTCGAACGAAAGGGACATTCGTGCGCGCTCCCATTCTCCACAGCTCTCGGTTTGCTCGCTCTGTGTTGATAGCGGCTTTCTGCTCCCACACGTGTAATCTCTTATATGTGGCGCTCTCTCTTTGGGACCCCTCAATAAGCAGACCCCGCTCCATCAGAAAAGGTAAATTAACAGTCTGCGTGGTGTCTGATTTTGTCTGAAACTGCGCAGCCGCTTGCATGGCGGGGCAGAGGTTGGGGCTGGAAGTTTAGCCGGTTAGCATGCTAGTGCTAGCTAGCTGATGCGTCTACTTTTTGTTGTGGTGTTGCTAACGTTAGCTAGCTAGCAAGCTAGTTGAAGTATGATAAATGCACTGCTTGTGTCTTTATTATGTAACGCTGAAATGTGATGTTGTTATGTTGCCTTCTTTTCAGGTGTAAAGCCATAGAAATCGACCACCATGGGGGCTTATCTGTCTCAACCTAACACGACCAAGACCTTTGCCGATGGCGGCAACAGCACCCTGAGCTACGGCTTCTCTGCCATGCAGGGCTGGCGCGTCTCCATGGAGGTGAGGCTGAAAATAATGACCGGATCAAAGACACTCCATGTTGAAAATTAGATTCGAGTTGCCAATGGCGGGATAAATTGATGTGCGGCATCTCCATGTTTGTTGGTATCTTTCCAAAGTTCGTCACACTCCTAAATTAGCTGCAGTGATGGGTGAAATCCATAAGTCATTCTCGGGGTGTTTTTCTTATCACCCCTAACAACATAAAGAAGAATGTCATTCACATCGCTTCACAACGTACTTTACTGAAGCTGACCGCATTTGTTTCTGTTGGTAACTTCTAGTGAGCAAACAAGGTGATAAAACGGCAGTTCCCCAGAGAATAAAAAAAAAAACTAAAATGTCTACCTAGATGCATACCATGTGAACAATTCGTTTAAAAATACATTGATTTAATAGACTTTAATGTCCAAGATGAGCAAGCTGGTTAACAAGCAGTAGTCATTACAACCATCTTATTTTTGTTGACCTTTCGGATGTTGCCACACAAAATAAATGTTGAAAAATTAAGAACCTTGCCAGGGTCTATAAAACCGTTCGTAGAATGATATTTCCCATGTTAAGCTTCTGAATGGCCTAAATACTTCTCTTTTAATGCTTTTTGTTCTTGTAACACCAGCACTGCTCTGGAAAACCATGTTTACTTTATTCAAGTGTATTAAACAAGACTTGGATATTGCTGATGTTCCTCCCACAGTCTCTTTTAGATCCAAGTCCTCCAATTCTTGGGCATGTGCTCGAATATTTGCACACGACACAACCCCTGTCCATATATAGTGTTTAGGGGGTGTTACTTATGCTAATAATACACAACTAGCCACATACCTCTTATTTTTGATCTAGTATGATTCATTATACAGCACACCTGGGTAAACATGTTTTAGCAGGATTTTAAACATTTGGTGTGTTTGGACTTTTTAAGCTTTCTTAACCCAACATTAAGAAAAGTAAAAAAAAAATGTTTTCCATTGAGTGAAAATGATGTCTTATCCCGTGTGACTCGCCGTCCTACACATTTTCTTACCCAAAGTGAAATTGTCTTTGCGATCATTTGTTCCAACTGTCATGTTGTATGTAATGTGCATTGTTTCATGTGTGTTGTAGGACTCTCACAATTGTATTCCAGAGTTTGACGAGGACACAGCCATGTTTTCTGTGTATGATGGACATGGAGGTAAACACATATACACTGTACAAATACTGTCACGTTCTTATATCATTTCTCAATTTGCATTTAAACAGTATTTTCTCTAATGGACAACACACACTTTCTAAAAATGACAGCATCAGAACACACCTACTTTTGCCAAGTGTCTTCAAGGTTTCCCCTTTTTATTGTTGGTTTTACACACCTCTTGAGTCCTCTGTTTGCACACCTATCCCGAGAGTCTATATAACCTGCTGTTCCCATTTAGGTGAAGAGGTGGCTCTGTACTGTTCAAAGTACCTTCCTGAAATCATCAAGGAGCAGAAGACCTACAAAGATGGCAAACTGCAAAAGGTGAGAAGCCGTAGAAGCCGCTGCATGATCTTTACTATTTTGTCAGCTCAGATGTCTCAATGACCTGAGACCTGCTGTTTGACTGTGGCATAGTTCACCTTTTTGGGATTAGTGGTAATGTCTTTTGAAAGTGTCACCATTTTCCCCCTGTCACACTTAAAGTTGTAGAGAAATATACATATTTGTTTCTCTTCTTTTTAATATTTAGATAACCTTCAAAAATATGTATATTCCATACAACAGGATAAAGTTGACAGCATTGAGAGGTTTCAGTTTGTTTCTATACTAAAAGATACATTTCACAAGGCTTTAACATTAGACCATGCCTTTTCTGTTCTTGGCTAGTAGCAAAGAACAGCCTAATGACTTGCCATAATTATGGTTAAATCTTTTTTATGTTTCTTGAGGAAGTGCGCATGCTTGAAAGATCATTTCCCATTCAAAAGGCAATACATTGCAAGTAAAATACACTCCACTGCAGTGCACACACAGCCCCGCCTACAATTGATGAGAAGTGATAAAAACCAGGGCTACTTGCAAAGAAAATGTCAACTGTAGTTCTTCAGTACTGACACATTAAAAACTCGCTGAACAGACTCATCGATGTTGTACCCAACGTTACACTGTGTCGCTTCATGTTTACTGATGCATCTCTCTGCACAATGTTTCCAGGCTCTGGAGGAAGCCTTCTTGGTCATCGATGGCAAAATAACCACAGAGGATGTCATTAAGGAGCTGGTCCAGATCGCTGGGCGGCCCACAGAGGAGCCGCCTGTGGTCAAGGTGTCACCGGAAGACGATTGTGAGTACACTGCTGACACTGAAACTTGTGTTTGATGACTATGAGAGTTGTACGGAACATAATAACAATAGAAATGCAGGATTGTAGCGTATTAACATCCAGCAAAATGCTTTAATTAAAAATGATCATGAGAATACAGCATGTGTAAAACATCCTGAAATGCATGCACCTACACTGCTAATACATGAGAGAAAATATGTCAAATGTTATGACATCCTCTGATTGTTTCCACGTTTCTGCTCCCCTCTCAGTGGAAACGGAGGAGGCTGCTTTGCTCCACGAGGAGGCCACCATGACTATAGAGGAGCTGCTGGTACGCTATGGCCAGAACCTCAATGCTGTCAAGCATGCAGCTGCCATCAGGTATTGTAACACTTTTTATCTTTCTTATAAGGACTGTTGGCTTTAGTGATTCGGATGTTAAAAAAACTAATTTTTTTGTTCTTAGTGCTGCTGCTAAGAAAGCAGCCAGCTCCAACCCCGAGGCCTCGGAAAGCAAAGATGAAGCTGGGAAAGAAAAGGAGGAGGAGGTAGTAAATGGAGAAATGGAAGAGGAGAGCAATGGAAAAGGGAAGAAAGGCGAAGGAGCAGCAAGTGGATCGAAGCTGCGAGCATCCAGGAGATCAGGAGTGGAGGGGGGGGGCCAGTGGTGCAGGTAACAGCTGGGATTCAGTCATGTACATTTTGCATTCAAAAGATGACGCAATGACATTTTTTTTTTAAATGTAATGGTGTGGTTTGAAGCTAAGATAAATAATAATAATACAAATAAGCTTTAATTGTATAGGACCTTTCATAAAAGAATTGCAGTCCAAAGTGCTTCACAGTAGAGAATTGAATCTCATAAAATAGTCACAGGAAATTGATGTCACGGTTTACCTATAAAAGACGTAGAATCTCAACTCAATGATAATGGAAAAAGGTGAGCCTGCTCAAATACTGAAGTAGTATGTTATAACTTACCACGTACTTATCAAATGTCCTCTCTCTCCCCGTTCCTCTCATTAACCACACCTGTCCTGGTTCCTCCTCTCCAGCAGCCGACTGTGGAGGGTCAGGAAGCGCCAATGGGGCGGGAAAGGCCGGAAAGGCAGAAGGAGACGCAGGTCCTTCCTGCTCGTCCTCCAAGGCTGTAGGAGATTCAAAGTCCAGGTTCTTCGATGACAGCGAGGAGTCTGATGGAGAGGAGGAGGGCAGTGAGGAAGAGGTGACGCAGACACCAGAGTTACGGTCATGTTTGGAAAACCTCCCTCACTCTGAGGGTTTTAAACATGAGGAAAGCATTGTATTTATATGATCTTTTCTTTCTTTTGATTAGGATGGTAGCGAAGAAGACGATGGTGACAGCAGTGAGATGGAAGAAGAGGAGGATACAGATGATGGAGAGGAAGACTCTGAAGATGAAGAGGAGGAGGAGGAAATGTGCCTTCCTGGAATGGACGGGAAAGAGGAGGTGTGAACAAAAGAGAAATGAATCTAATGCAACTAAGAAAAACAAGTGCCCCTGATACAATACTACATTCGGTATTTACAACACGTCTTGCTTAATGTCGATATCTGTTCTTACTTGAATCGGAGTGATACTTAGGGTTTGGGTAGAAACCGTCTGCTCTCGTGCATAACGGGTTGATTATTGATGATATATAAGCACACTGTATTAAAATATGGAGAAACTAGTGTCCATAGAAAACAATAACATGTAAATGTGCTCTGTTGCAAATTAATGTTATCGCTGATGGTGACCGAGTCCACTAAAGTGGGAACAACAATGCAGCGTTTTGGGAATGAATGTACGGAGAAATCACGTTTTCTAAAATCGAAGTTGTCTCTTAACGATTAAGTTGACATTAAATCCCAAAAATATTAGGACCTCTTTCCACGTATGAGTTGTACAACTGTTTAAAGTGCCTTGACCTCCATCTTTGAAGCTTTAAAAAGTTGTCGTATGCTGATGTTTGGTGGAATAGGTCGTATCAAAATCACTGAATACAAAATCACAATATTTTTGCTTGTGACTTTGAAAAGATTAGGCTTAGTTAGCAGTAGGTGTTTTTTATTTAAATAGCTTGGCTGTAAAGCTTGGCCTCATCACACTAGAAGCCAGGTTTGTGATCTCTGATGACTTTCTGTAAAGCTTCGGTGCTGGAACGGGAGTACTCTGATTGTATTGTATGTATAGAGGAGTAAAGCATCATGCAGTAACATCACATCTCTCATGTTCATGTGTGTGCAGCCCGGCTCTGACAGCGGCACCACAGCTGTGGTGGCTCTGATCCGAGGAAAACAGCTGATCGTGGCCAACGCCGGAGACTCTCGCTGCGTGGTGTCTGAGCGCGGTGAGTCTCAACCATGCCGGGTCTAATTCTTTTTGATAGAAGCGCTATATAAGATATTTGTGAAAAATGTAAATGTCAATCCGTTAAACGACCAATTTGGTAATAATGTAAGAGTTCTGTGTCGCTGTAGGCAAAGCTGTGGACATGTCGTATGACCACAAGCCGGAGGACGAGCTGGAGCTGACCCGCATCAAAAACGCTGGCGGGAAAGTGACCATGGATGGGCGGGTCAACGGGGGGCTGAACCTCTCCAGAGCTATCGGTATGGCCGACTGCATCTGAATTGAACACATAGCTTCTCTTAGTCAATGTTAGATTCCTTTCGTCTGTTCTGAAGTCAATTTGCAACCTAATATGTTTCTGATTCTCTGAGATGAACTTCTCCTGTAAGCAGAATGAGTTTCTATGAACCTTCTGCCCTGGACTCTGTCTCTCAGGTGATCACTTCTATAAGAGGAACAAGGCTCTGCCTCCAGACGAGCAGATGATCTCCTCCATGCCAGACGTCAAAGTCCTGACTCTTAACGGGGACCACGACTTCATGGTCATCGCCTGCGACGGCATCTGGTAATTGATTATTATTTAGGATTCATCATAAACCAGATTTGAATACACAATAATATTGTTTGTCCATTTGATCTGTTATTTCCCTGCTAATAAGCCTTTCTGATGCCTGTGTGCAGGAATGTGTTGAGCAGTCAGGAGGTGGTGGACTTCATCAGTGAGAGGATCAAACCAGACCAGAGCGGCAAAGTCAAATCCCTCTCATCCATAGTGGGAGAGGTGAGAGGCTCCTCTTACACACTTAATACAAAATGACCACTTGTACATACATTTGTCCGAGTTTCTGTTAACAGAATTATAATTACATGTCAGACATAACAAAAAAATAGATTTCTGCAGTTTTTTACATCTCCAACATTTTTATTCAATTTTAACTGAGATGACACCGATGCAAATCAATAATAGTAAATGATGCATATTGCGCATTGATGACCCATCTCGCATCGGTAGCATATTACATTACATTGCATTTAGCAGACGCTTTTATCCAAAGCGACTTACAATAAGTGCATTCGACCAAGAAGATACAAACTAGAAGAAAACAGAATCATATAAGTACATCAGGTTTCATAGAGCCAAAACATTTCAAGTGCTACTCAACTAGCTTTAGATAAGCCAGTCCTTTGTTAGTATATGAGTGCTTTGTTAGTATATGAGTGCTTTGTTAGTAATTTTATTGCTCGAAGTGGAGTCGAAAGAGATGAGTTTTCAGTCTGCGCCGGAAGATGTGTAAGCTTTCTGCTGTCCTGATGTCAATGGGGAGCTCATTCCACCATTTTGGAGCCAGGATAGCAAACAGACATGTTTTTGCTGATGGGAACTTGGGTCCCCCTCGCAGTGCTAATAACACTGTTATAAACAAGCTTAAGCCAAAACTGATTGTATGTAACCTAAATGTTTAGCCTAATTAGCTAAGCATCTCAAAATATTCTAACAACTATTGTAGACTGAATGACACGGCAGCCCCTCCCAATATCAGCAGTATTTGATCAGTCGCGTACATTAGATTTTTCCCTGTAGATAGTTATTGTGCTATGTAGCTTGTAGACTAAGTAGCTAACCACAACACAATTCCCTTTGTAGCTCTCTTTTCTCATGTTCATACCTCGTTCATTTAAAATCCCATATGTCTTTCTAACAGCTGTTGGACCACTGTTTGGCCCCCGACACATCTGGAGACGGGACCGGGTGTGACAACATGACCTGCATCATCATCACCCTCCGGCCTCACCCGGCCACCGCTCAGCCGGATGACAAGAAGAAGAGGAAGCTGGAGCACGAGAAGAACGGCAACGACAGCAAAAAGACCAAAAGTGAATAAAGGGAGAGAGAAACGGAGCCAGAGGCAGCAGCTGGTCCCGGCTCCCCAGAGGCAAACTCTGCTCTACAGTTGATCCCTGCCGCACAAACATCCCCCTTCAAATCGAATTTAAATGACTATACGTATGTTCAAAGATCGGCTGAACTGAGATCATCGGTATAGTTTTTTATTCTCAGTTTATCTCACTTTAACGCCCTTTCAGTTATTTCTTTTTGTTGGTGTCGCTGTAAAGACTTCTTAAATTCAGAGGAGTCATACATGCTGAATAGTTCATTATTTTCCAAGTATTTGTAACTAGATGCCGAATGATCCAGTCTATAGACATCTATGTGTATTTCTAAACATTAAGAGACGTCTTATCTCCTCTACAGACATCACTGCCCTCTGTTGTGAAAATATTTCCCCACATGGCAGTTTCACAGTTTTGTTTCAGTGGAAGTTTGAGGATAACTCTCCTAGTGGCCTGTGTATGATCGCTTTTGACATATTACAGTAAGACACACATTTTTCATTTTGCAATATGAAACATGCAAGCTACTTTCCCAATATGGAATCGCACAATGCTCTGTGTTGTGCCCAAATTACAAGGCATTCATTGTATCTCAAAGTGCCATTAAATCCCTTTTTTATAGGCACCATTTCACATCCTCAAACGAACTGAAGGGACCCGAAACGGTAGTGAAAGTGATTGAAAGGGGATATCATTGTCTTTTGTAGCCCCAATTTAAAGACTCCAGGAGCAGCGAGAGTGTGCATGCTTGTCCAGTGAATGTGCCGCCGGATGTTCCCTGTTTAAGGGACTGAAGGATTCGGGGAACTAGTCCCGTCGCTCTTGTTTGTCATTTATATTTTTCTCACTCAATTACCACCCAGACAATGATTCTTTTTCAGGCTCACTGGTTCCATAACAGCCCAATCAAAAACATCACGTCCCCGTTATCTGGCCTTTATTTCCATTCCTGCTTTGTTTCTGGTTCTGATTAGATTCTGTAAATATCCAGACAAATATAAGATGCCAGGGTTTCTTGAACTAGTGTACTTTTCTTCTGTAAGATCTGATGGCAGCACAAAGAGACGTAAAGCCTTTTCTGTGTGTCCATCCAGAGACAGGTGGTGATTGAAGCCCTTCTCCACCACATTCCCTCTCACCGTCTGTCCACTGTGTTTTAGTAAAAAAAGTATTTCCACTCAAATGTTTGTTATTCTTTTTCTATTTTGATGCAACAGTTATAGGAAGTTTATTTTCTTGCCAGCACACTCTGGAAACGCTGTACTGTGGAGAGGATGCACAAGATTACTTTTGAGTGGAAATACAGTCTGAAGCTCAGAGCACCGAGACAGCGTAACTGTTCAGAATATTTCTCTCGTCTTTATTTGCAGAATCGTCATTTAAACTGCACCGTGTGACTAAGTTTATCTCTAGTGTACTTTCTTGTCACCATTCCCCCTTTTTCTGTAAATAGTGTTTTCAATACTTGTAATTGAAGAAGAAAAAAGCTTTTTCTTTGTAATTGTGAGTCAATGTGACATTTTTGGTGCACTCTTTTGACACCAGTATGTAAGTACATACAAATACATTTTTTTAAATAATCATGAATGTGTTCCTGTGTTTTTCTTCAATCAGGGTTTTTAGATGAGTCTTTTATTTTGATATAACATTCCTCTGCCAGTCAGACAATATTCAAGTCAACATGAATGCAGTATCCTGTTTAAAAAGAGCTATCACTTTGATGTCAAAATGTAATGGTTACTGGTCTTGAGTCTCCAAATGCCTAACAATATAGTTTAAATGCTTTTTAAGGGTGTTTTGCTCTCTGCCTCGCATGTAAAGGTTTCTGTTTTAGACACAAGCAATGTGTTGCAGTGATAAGTAACCAAGTAGATTTACTCAAGTACTTCACTTCAAGGTAGGGTAGGTAAGAATGGAGAAACCAGCTTGAGTGCGCTAGAATTTGAAAGAACGCAGCCGAATCTGCCCCTTCCTTCAGACTTCCTTACAGAGCCCCTCCTCCAACACACACGAACGCGCACATGACCAATGAGGGCACGAGATAAGTTTGTGCACAGATGGAAGGCTGACAACTCCACAACATGTATTCATTACCTTTAGTTACGTTGCCGATTTGGATGTGAAATATAAGCGACACTTAAATCAGACTTTAGTTACACCTGGAGTAAATTCAAAAGCTACCCGGCAGTATACAAAGTCATACAAATTAGCTTCACCTTTACTAGCTTTGATAAAAATAATTATACTCCAACATATTTTATTCTGAAATGGGACAATCTGCATAATGACTACTTCAACTTTTGTTAATTTAAGTATATTCTGATGCTAATACTTTTGTACTTTTACTTAAAACTGAGTATTCCTACACTCTGGTACTTCTACTTTTACTTGAGTACAATATCAGAGTACCTTTTTCCCACCTATGCTGTGTTGCCTGCTGAGCTGCATGGACCAACTGTCCGTGCTCTTTGCTGGACGGCGTGCACAGAGACAGTCCTGCAGATGGCAGCAGATGGAGAGGTTTGGGCCAGTGTTGTTGAGGTCTTTCATGATCCCTCTAAAGCAGAGAGGAGATCAGCCTGCCATGAAGGACAGAAGTGGAGATGTCTGTAGCTCACACCTTCAGGACATACTGCCCACTCATTTCTCATAAGGACAAAGTGAACATGTTATTTAATTCTCCAAAGAAATAGGAAAGCAACAAAGGACAGAGTTTATTTCCCATCAGCCCCGGGTGCTCTCTGTCCTGCCCTCCCATTGGCTGCTGCTGCTCCACAGGCCTGGTGGTTGTTCTGCTCCCCGAGGATCACTGCTGCGTCAGGAACAATAGAGAGCAAGAGAGGAAACACACCCTGTCCTTGGAATCTAAAAATGTCATCACACACACACACACACACACACACACACACAAAAGACCAGAATAGACACATTTTTACCCTGTCTTTACCAGGAAGGATGTTTTTAGTTTTTGTCTGCAGATTAGGTTTAAGTGGTTTGAGTGGACACTATGAAAGCAACGTTTTTCTAGATTGCAAAGACACTTGATGAAACTTCAACACCACCCTTTAAAACCAAAGGCTATGGCAGAGGTGCCATTGGGAGAGTTTTCATGATGTTTTTTTGTTTGTTTTTACAGTATTTCAACAGGTCATCTGTGTTAAATCATCAGGTTCTGTACACCAGGGTTTATTACGTATTGTGAAATTATCTTTGGAGAATATATGCTTACGTGGAGCTGGCCAAAATGTATCTTCTGAATGGACAATTGTGTTTAAGCTTATGGAAAAATATGTTATATAGACAGTAAAACAGACATAACACACTTGGGTTTGTGTGAGTGTGACCATTTTGATCTTGTATGCATAATGAATATGATATGATGAGTAAGTATTTACTCAGGTACAGGGAAAAGCTCCTGGCATGAGAGGCTGCAAAAGAGTTGCTTTGAAGTTATTGCAAAAATCCAATTAAATGTCTATAAAAGTACTAGAATACAATTTAGAAATAGTTGTACTATACTTGAGTTTAATATTTATTCTTGCCACTTTATACTTCTATTTCATTACAGTTGAAATGAACCCATTTGTATACTTACTTTTAAAGACTTAGAAAGGGTTATTAACGCCTTTGTAACCTCGAGACTGGATTACTGCCACGCTCTATACGTGGGTATGGACCAGGCCTCAATTAAACGCCTGCAGCAAACGCAGCTGCACGTCTTCTGACTGGCCACAAAAAGCGTGACCACATCACCCCAATTCTGGCCTCACTACACTGGCTTCCAGTTCGGTTCCGAATTGATTTTAAAATCCTTTTATTTGTTTTTAAAGCACTAAATGGGCTGGCTCCGGCCTATATAGCTGAACTCCTCCAGCGCTACACCCCAGCCTGAGCTTTAAGGTCTGCTGACCAGCTGCTGCTGGTAGTGCCCAAGACCAGGCTTAAAACCCGAGGGCACCGAGCCTTCGCAGCAGCTGGCCCTAGGCTCTGGAACACTCTGCCCCTCCATGTGAGGTCGGCCCAGACCCTAGGGGTTTTTAAATCTACTCTTAAGACACACTTCTTCTCCCTGGCCTTCTAGTCAGAGCGGAGCACGACTCGTCACTTTTCCCTGTGTTTTTTTTATATCTGTTGTAATTTTATTGTCTTTTATTGTGATTGTAGTAATGTGTTTTTATTACATGTACAGCACTTTGGCTCGACCAAAAATCGCTTTTAAATGTGCTTTATAAATAAAACTTGATTTGATTTGATTTGATTGAATACTTTTACCTCTGGTACTTCAAGTATAGTGTGTTGCTTGTGTTTTGTACTTTCAATTAGGTACAAGATCTGAGTAGTTCTTCCCCTTCTGATAAAACTACTCCGCTTTTCAAGAAGCATGACTCTGAACACCCATAGTGTTTCGATTTCTACAACAGTTTTCCTGGAATACATGATTGGTTGTTTCTCAAAAGTCCCCTGTAGGAAGCTGTTCCAGGCAGATTTTTACTGCAGTAAATGTGTCTAAAAGGCTTCTACTATGGAGCTCAATGGCGTCCTTGTCCAGCTGTGTGTCGGGGGTGTGTGTCCTAAACCTGAGTGATGGCTGGGGGAGAGCCACACGAGGCCAACTAGACCTTCAATTGTACATGTTTAACTCTGTGTGTGGGTGTGTGTGTGTGTGTCGTCGAGGCAGCAGGTGTATATATATAGAAAAGTAGACCACAATAGCAGGTTGTAGTCGGACACAGTAAGTATTCATCAAGATCTTTTTCGATCTCCCTCTCTCGCTCCTAAAACTGCATTGGCCTCGTTGCTTTCTCATTGCACAGAGTTCAGCAGCAATGTCCCAAAACACACACACACACACACACACACACACACACACACACACACACACACACACACACTCACACTCACACACACACACACACACACACACACACACACACACACATTCATTCCAGCGGTCACTGTAGTGCCATTTAAAACTTGCTGTGACCAAAAGTAGTTAACTGTAAGGTTTCTTTCAGAGTCACACACACCTCAAATCTTTATTTTTATATCTATATTTAGTAGTTTTCTTTGTAGTGATAGCACGATATATTATAATACATTATCATTATATTAACATGTTATTATATGAATACATTGATCTTATATAAGGTGTACTTAGTGTCACAATTAGCATTTTCCCTAAAGAGGATATGGAGAAAGACAAAACATTTAATGGTTTTTTAAAAAAAATCAATCACACACACATACACACAATAGGAAGATGTCAAAGTCAGCTGTTCTGTTGCTGACAGGATGTAGCAGCATGTCAGATCCAGACTCATCTCTGTGTGTGTGTGTCGTCTGCATCAAGCTAAGCATGTTGGATGGAATAACAGGAAAACCCCCCACATCCTTTTTTCTCCCCCTCTCTTTCCTTTTACATCTCTTGTGCCGCCTCCTCCCATTTTTCTTTTCCACCCACTGTCACTTCCTGTCACCTCTTCACTCCACTTCCTCTCTTCTTCCCTCCTCTGTTTTTAGTAAATGATACATCCTCTTTGTCTTCTAATATTTCCCATGCTTTCCTTTCCATTTCCTTCTCATCTGATATTGTGGAATGCGGTCTTCTGTGGAAGACTGTCATCAGATAAGCACATGGACACCCTGGATTTGTCCTGTCTAAAGCTCTTATTAACCTCTGTTGTGCTTACACAAATACAGGATTTATCTATAAAAAATCAAAAGAAGAGCAGTATTACAAACACTTGAGACACTTCCAAAAAAATAATGGCTGAAAACATCCTTAACATGAGAGAGATCATATTATGTCAAAGTCCATAAATACGAATATTTGGTCAAAAACATCCAGGTTCATCAGGGCAGCACATTCAGAAACCCACCTGCACAAACAGATTCACACATATCTGGACATCTGTATGTACTGTAGGCAAACACACACACTAACACACACACCCACACACGGGTGCGGTCTAAGATAAGAGAGAAGTGGAAAGAAGCTGCTATCTGGTCACCGAACATTTCCTCACTTTCTCATTACTTTGCAAGTAAATAGCCATTTGGAAAAAAGTGATCATAGCAATGAACAGCGGATAAATGGATAATGATTCTGAAAACAAAAACTGTTTATCCTGTAGCGCAATATCTTTAATGTTTTCAGGAAATTAGTTTTTCCTAAAGAAAACATGTTGGATACTTGGAGGCAGTATTTGCTTCCTTGCACAAAGAATTGACTCTTTTTTCGAGGAAAGGAAATCCAAGCTAATTCATTTCCACGCTTCTTTTTATGAGATCTTCTTTCCCTTTGAGTACTTTATCATTTTGACACATGTTCCTGTCATGGTTTCTATTCCTCTTCTGTATTCCTTTTATCTTCTCTGTTGAGTTATTCATGGGTTGGTCACAGGGTCCTGGGTTAAAATCATTTAAGGCTTCAGCCCTTTATAGTTCCCTTGCTGAAAGGTCACTCTCTCATAACGTTAGTGGTGGATAAACCCATAGTGATCCCTGGACGATAACATGACTTTAAGGGAAATAATGTGAGATGGTGCTGCGTCGGTAAAAGTGCATGCACAGTAACAAAAGCACCA